TGTTTAATTTTTTAAGAAACTGCCAAACTTTGTTCCAAAGTGTCAAAAATCAATTGACTATAGGGATTTATTTCTGGACTCAGTACTGTTTCACTAATCCATATTGCTATCCTATGTCAGTACCACAATTTCTTGATGACAGTCGGTATAGTAAGTTTCAAAAGAAAAAAAAAAAGCAAGTTCTCCAAATTTGTTCTTTGTCAACATTTTTTGGGGGATCATCTGGGTCCTCTGCATTTATATGTAAATTTTAGATTCAACTTCTCAATTTCTGCAGCAACAAAAAAAAGAAAATCCAAAAACAAGCAAACAAAAAACTTGCTGGGATTTTAATATAAATTATAATGTCTATATATCAGTTTGGAAACAAATGGCTATCTTAATAATATCAAGTCTTCCAATCCATGAACATGGTATGTCACTCTACTTATTAGATCTTTGATTTCTCTCAATGATATTTTTTAGTTTTGAGTGTATAAGTCTTCCACTTATTTTGAGAAATTTGTTCCTAAATGTATTCTTTTTTGATGCTATTATAAATTAATTTTTTTCTTAATTTCCTTTTCAGAGTGTTCATTGCTAATACATAGAAACACAGTTGATTTTATTGGTACATTTATCTTGTAGCATGACACCTTGCTGAACTTGTTAATTAATTCTAGCAGTTTTTGGGTGAATTCCCTAGAGGTTTCGCATATAGAATCATGTCACTTATGAATAACGATAGTTTTACTTGTTCCAATCTGGAGACATTTATTTATTTATTTTTGCCTGATTGTACTGGCTAGAACCTCAAATACAATGTCGAATAGAAGTGGTGAGAGTGCCTTACTTTGTTTCTGATCTTAAGGGCAAGTCATCTAGTTTTTCTAAATTGGGTATCATATTTACTGTAGGCTTTTCATAGATGTCTTTTCTCAAATTGAGAATGTTTTCTTCTATGCCTGGTTTGTTGAGTTTTTATCATAAAAGTGTGTTGGATTTTTGTCAAATACTTTTTCTCCATGCATTGAAATAGCCATATGGTTTTATCCTTTATCCTATTAATATGGTATATTACATTAATTGTTATCTTTTGTTCTATTAATATGGGTGTTAAACCAGTGTTGCATTCCAGGGACAAATCCGACTTGGCCATTGTATATAATCCTTCTTATATGTTACTGGATTCATTTGCTATATTTTCTTATGGATTTTGCATCTACATTCATGGGGAGTATAGGTCTGTAGGGTCCTTTTCTTGTGATGTATTTGTCTGGTTTGGTGTTGGGTTAGTGTTTCCCCTTCTCTTTTCTATATCAATGATCTTGCCAGTAATTTCTAGTTCCCTATGGCTTCTCTTTTCAGTTCTCCAGCCAGAAATCTGGGCTTATTAATGTATACCCAGCTCAGTGGCTTCTATTTATTGTGTTTGCATCTGGAGCCAAACAGAGGGTGGAGAGCGAAAGGGAGAGAGAGAGAGAACAATGAGATTTCACTCCACCTTCTCAAAATCACAATACCACTAATCAGACAGGAAGATTTAGCCTCATTCAGAGTTTTGGGCTCAAAACATTGCTGCACTGCCACAGGATTGCTTGGTGACTGAGGTGTGAGAATGGAGAATAAAAAGAGGGGACAATTTTTGTATTCTTTCTGAGTGTTAGGATTTCCTTTTTCCATTTATTAAGCTAGAACTCTAGGATTCTCCTACCGCTGTCTCTGTCTGGACCCTTGTGCCTGCTTCTGGGTTTTGGACCAGGCCAGGAGACACTAGAGGGAACAAATGGTAAATTACCCACCACTAGCTTGGTGGTACTTTGAGTTCTTGTCTTCTTTCCCAACCCTTTTACCACTACATGTTTGCTTTTCAGAATCCTTAAATAGATTTTACTTAGAACTCAAGCTCTTTCTCTGCTATGTTATTTCATTTTTCTAGTAATTTATTTTAATATATTTTACAAGAACATTTGTCCTCAAATTGATTGGGAATTAAAAATAACAACTATTCTGGATGATGGAATAAAGGCTATGGGGGATTTTGGAGGGAGAGATGAATGGGGATTGGGTATTTCTATTAACAGTCATCAAGCATAAAAAAATGGAACTTTAGAGTTGGACTTTACAAGTCAAAATGATGTTAATAATTTCTGCATGTAGTAGACATAGCCATGACATTCACTCCAACTTTGACTCATGCAGTGCCATTTGGAAATAACAGAACAATCTTTTCCTTTCTTTTTCTGAAATTTCCCTGGGGGTGACATCATTCCAGAAAGGTTATAACTGAGCTGGTCTTTGAAGAAATTATCTGTAGCAGGAAAAGGACCTTGTTCATTTTTAAAGATCCTTTTCCTCTGCATTCTTCAAATTGGATACATTCTATTGTTTTGTCTTAGAGTACACTGTCTCTTTCTTCTGTTATATCAATTCTATCATTTCTGCTACTGAGTCCTTCCAGATATTATATATTTCACTTCAAAAATTTCCATTTTTATTTAATAGTTTCTATATCTCTGCTGAAACAAAAAGCTACCTTCCCATTTATTTCAAGAGTATTTACCCTTTATCTCATAGACTATGGTTCTAATTGCTAATTTAAGGTCTTTATCTGATCATTCCAATATCTGAGTCTTCCCAATTTGGGACTCTATTGATTGCCTTTTACCTTGAGAATTGGTCATATTTGCTTGCTTTTTTGTTTGTTGAATTTTTTTATTGTATAATAGACATTTTGAATATTTTGAATATTATGTTTTAAGATTCTGGATCCTGTTTAAATTCTCTGAAGGAGATTTAATTTTTTTCCGTCAGACTTGGTTAGGTTTAGACTGCAAGCTCTGCCTTCCCGTCTGTGGGCAGTGGTTTCCATGTCAGTTCAGTTTTAGAAGGCTGTGCTATTCACAGCTTAAGTCTGCATGCATCCCTCAAGGTTTATACTGGTAATCTGGGACTTGGGCAATGGTTTACATGGTTTACATTGTAGTTCAGTTCTCAAAGCCTTTGCTGTGCTGCTTTGAGTGTTTTCTGCACCTGTGTACCTTAGGGGTAGTCCAGGACTTTGATTCATTCATATAGAAAATAAAGGCATTCTCTTCTCCCTCTCTTTCCTCTGTGAGATTTCCAGATTAATTATTAATTTTTATCCAAGTACATGTTTCATATAGTTCTCTATTTTATGATTTGTGATATTTAAACTTTTTATTCCACTACATGAAAAAAATTATAATTTTACTCTCATCCCTTCCCTCTTTGTCTCCCGCTCCTAATATTGGATATTTACATTATCTTTTATTCTATTGGCTGCATTTGTAACATTTTATTTAATATACATAAGCCTCTACTTCTTGATCTATCAAGTTGCATAACTTCTTCAGTTCCTGAGTTCACATGGTGGTAATATCTATGCTTTTTCTTTCCCCTTTCATTCCAACCTTTCAAGAGCTACACTTAAACCATCGTGTTGTTAATGCTGTACTCCTTCCAAAGGTTCACAGTACATGTTTAAAATTTTTCATTTAAAAGAACACAAAAAAGTATTTGTACTATTCTGATTGGATAAATATTGTTCAATACTGGGACAAGTCACAGTTCAGGAGTATATGCCTTCCTTAAGGTCCTATGTGATACGCTGGCCAATTGAAGAATGTTAATAGCATCAAGCAAAAGGATTTCTTTACGTTTTCTCGCTCAGTATTTAAAATTATGTTACTTGTTTGAATCATTATTCTTGCATATGTTAGATATATATATGCATGCTTGTATATATGTATGCATATATTTCCAAGATTTCTAAGTCCTTTTTTTTCCTGGGAGACCTGCTGTCTATGACTTGTGCAGACATGTCATTCTTACTGGAAAAGCACATTTTCAAGTAACTTCCTAATGTAGGATGTATGGGAAGGGAAAGTTTCTACCTAGGGATATGACTAGAAATGTCTTTGTTTCTCCATTTGATTGATAGTTTGCCTGGGTTTAGAATTCTAGATTGAAAGTTATTTTCTCTCAGAACTTTGAAAGCTCTGACCCACTGACTTCTAGCATCCACTGTTGCATCAACCAGGAGATAGAAGGAATGAGGATAATTCATTTATTAGCCAATCTCAGCCCATGGACTTCTTTCCTCTTTGCAAGTCAGCGATCATAAAGGTTCTCCTTTGTCCTGAAGAGGTAGGCTGGGATATTGAATTTCTGTAAAGCACTATGTTTCAGTGCTTGTCTCTCTCACAGTTGTTAGTGGACTCTTCTGTTGAAGGGCCCCTTTACCTTTCAGTGTTCTAGGAAGGCAGCACTGCTGGTCATGGTGCTGGTGTAGTCTTTGCTCTCAGGAATTCTAGTTGTATATATAATTTTTCTTTATTTACCTTTTCTTCAATTATTCATCCAGTTCTCCTTGTACCTTGAGCTAAAGTATAAAAGTTGTGGAGGGCAGATATTGCCCTTGCCAAAATAGTAACATTTAATTAACATAAAGCAGAAAGGGCTCCAAAGGGAGTATATAGTAAAGGAATATTCTGTAATTCTTCTATAATGTGGTTCTCAGTAGAAAATTTCAGGTATATTAGTCTGCTTCTACATTGCTATAAAGAACTACCTGAGACTGGGTAATTTATGAAGAAAAGAGGTTTAATTGACTCTCAGTTCATAGGCTGTACAGGAGGCACAACTGGGAACACCATAGGAAACTTACAATCATGGCAGAAGGCAAAGGGGAAGCAAGCACATCTTCACATGGCCAGCATGAGAGAGAGAATGAAAGGGGAGGGGCCACACACTTTCAAACAACCAGATCTTTTGATAACTTTATCACAAGAACAGCACTAGGGGAATGGTGCTAAACCACCCCCATGATCCAACCACCTCCCACCAGGCTCCACCTCCAACATTGGAACTTACAATTCAACATGAGATTTGGGTGGGGACACAGAGCCAAACCATATCACTAGGCTAACCAGTATCTATCATTTTCACCATCTGCATTCAGTTTTTCTCATCAATTATTCCTGTTTTGTCTTTTTCAGCAACAGAAATTGCAAGGAAATCCAACAAAGAAAACCAAATCAAAAAGACCCGATCCCCTCAAAGGACAGAAGGTTATTGCAAGATGTGATGAAAATGGCTTTTATTTTCCAGGTAGGTTTTTTTTTTTTTTTAAATTTTGTGAAGCTTTTGTTAAATAATTTGATATTGGGGAAAAGAAGTTTCAACCTGTGCTTTTGCTAGAACACTGACATTTCACGAGCTGGCCTGAGCTAGTCCACTTTTCACAGAGAAGAGAAGTGAAATATCTCTGGCCAGCTTATGAAATGAGCATATTTGGTCCCCCAAAAAAGTAGCCAGAAAAAAATGCACTTATTTTAATTTCTCATTTTTTAGTAAATAAAGTTTTATTACCCATCTACTGCATTGCATGTATGTAATATTTTGAAAGTACTGGTCTAATAGTATGAGCAAACAGATGAACATTCTTGCTTTTTGGAGATTACATCTTAAAGAAGACAGACAAGCAATGAAATAAACAGATAAAATATGTGATATGTCAGATACAGTGCCATAGAGAAAAATCAAGCCACAAATGGGGTTGAGAATGTCGGGGTGAGGGTTGTGATTCTATATCTGGTGGTTAATGAAGAGCTCCTGGGGAAGGTGACATATGAATAAAGACTTAAAAGAGGTGGGGCAAGCCATGAGATTATCTGGGGAAGAGAGTTCTAAGCAGGAAAAACAGCGGTGCCCAGGCCTCAGAGTGAAGTGCACACGTGTGTTGGAGGAAGGGCCATGAGACCGGGATAGCTGGGCCTCAGAGGTTTGCCCCAGACTTCCTGGGGGAGTGGTCCCTGAAGGAATCAGCCAGTTGCAATTCAGCAGGGGGTGGAGGTATGAAGAGAGTTTCATGGATGGTGACAATAATATGTGTGAAGACTTAGAAACGAAGAAAAACATCTATATCTGGAGAAATAAAATTGATTCTGGCTGGAACTTAAAATGAGAAGGAAGGGTGGAAATAGTAAACCTCTTCAGAGAGGTAAGCATAGGGCTATGCATAAAGGGTCATATTGAGGATTTGCACTTTAGCCTCAGGGCAATGAGAGCCACATTGAAAGCAGTGAGAAACACAATCACATTTGAAGTTTTCGAAAGCTGTCTCCCACTGCTGTGTGAAGATTGGATGCCAAGGGGTTAGGGTGTCTCTCTGGCCCCTGGCTTGGGGCAGTAGATAGATAGTGGTACCTATAGGAGGTGGTAGTGTGGACAGAAAGACAATGAGATGTGTCTGCGACATGACGAATTGCAGGTGCCTGCAAGATGCCCAGAGGAAGATGTCAGAGAAGCAATTGGAGATGTGGGTCTAGAGTCTGGAGATAGAGATTTGGGAGACATAACCACAAAAGTCATGAATGAAATCATGGGAAGGGTCCGTAGGAAAAAGGGAACTGGGAGAAAACCTTGAGGAAGCTCTGTCAGGCAAAATAATTACATTGCAGGGTTGGTGTGGTGGGTCACACCTGTAATCCCAGCACTTTGGGAGGCCGAGGCTGGAGGATCACTTGAGGTCAGGAGTTCAAGACCAGCCTGGCCAATGTGGTGAAACCTCATCTCTACTTAAAAAAAAAAAAAAAATTAGCCGGGCACCTGTAATCCCAGCTACTCGGGAGACTGAGCCAGGAGAATCACTTGAACCTGGGAGGCAGAGGTTGCAGTGAGATCACGCCACTGCACTCCAGCCTAGGTGACCAAGTGAGACTCTGTCTCAAAAAAAAAAAGATTACATTGCAGATACGTAGCTGGCCTTTCATAGGCATGATCTATCAATCAACAGTTAAAAGAATAATTATTATTTAAATTTAATTGAATAATACTTTAGGTGGGAAAAAAGTACTTCAGCAGGATTTTTGGTTTCCAGCAGGCACATATGTACAACTGACAACGGGACAGGTTATTTGAATGTGATAAATGTGCTTGGGAGTTGCCTGAACGAGAGTAAATGTGGATCCCAGCACTTGGGATGAACACGTAGGCTAAGGCATGATACCCTTCTTTACAACAAGGGCTGGGAATCTTTCATTTCTCTGGGGTGCAGATTTTCTAAGAGGTGATTGTAGAAGGCTACCCCTGCTTGAGAAATTTTGATTTTCTGAATTTGAGCCTTGGAAAGGGTTTTATGGTTAAACTGGTAGTCGAATGAAAATGCTGAAAGTGAGGCCAGGTGCGGTGGCTCATGCCTGTAATCTCAGCACTTTGGGAGGCCAAGGCGGGCAGATCACCTGAGGTCGAGAGTTCGAGACCAGCCTGACCAACATGGTGAAGCCCCATTTCTACTGAAAATACAGAATTAGCCGGATGTGGTGGTGGGCACCTGTAATCCCAGCTATTCGGGAGGCTGAGGCAGGAGATCACTTGAACCCAGGAGATGGAGGTTGCAGTGAACTGAGATCTTGCCACTGCACTCTAGCCTGGGCAACAGAGTGAGACTCTGTCTCCAAAAAAAAAAAAAAAAAAAGAGAGAGAGAATAGAAAATGCTAAAATCCTAAAACAGACTGGATTCTAAATGGTTGGGTTAGGGGCTTGGTGTCACTTTGCTGGCTAAGGCCCCAGAGAAATGTAGAATGGCTCAAATTTCTACCCAGCACCATGCTTGTGTGATGAGAAAATTCTAAAGACCTACCGGGGGGAGTAGAGGAGACAGGGCTAATACCATGACCATGTGCAATGCCTGAGGCCACAACAGAAATTTTTTTAACGTGCAATTAGAGGCAGAAAGTACATACTATACTCCCAACAGCCGCATGGGATCTGACTAAGCAGGAATTTTTAATTTGCAGTGTAATTAAACTTCAATAAATGAACTTGAAGGAAATATTTGAATTTAGTCATATAATCGGTAATTTTGATTAGTGTCTAAGTAGTAAACTAACTTTGACTCAGCCTGGGTTATCTCCATGAGCCTAGTTTTTGTGCCCTCTCTCCCCAGTCACCTGATCTTTTCCTTAATTGGGAATAACTTTACTTTCATGGTTGTTTTTTATTAAAAATTCAAACATTCAGAAAAGTCACAAGAATAATACAGAGAACCCCAGTATACTCTTCACCCAGATTTGCCAATTTTTAACATTTGGTCATATTTTATCACATATATTATTTTATTCTCTGTCTTCACACATACATACACACATCTTATTTTTTCTGAACTCTTAGAAATTAGGCAACATTTATCATGTTACTTTATCCCTTAACACATCAGTGTGTATTAAGAGTAAGAATAATCTCTTAATATAACCACAATAAAGTTAGAAAATTCAAAAACTGTAACATTATTATAGTACTTTTATTTAATCTATATATTTTGATTTTGTTAATTGTCCCAGTAATGGCCTTTATCACACTTATTTTCTCCAGGACAGGTCTCAGCCCAGAATCATGTATTGCATTTAGCGGACATGTCTCTAGCCTTCTTTGATCTAGAACCATTCTTTAGCCTTTTCTATTATCTTTCATGATAGTGACATTATTTAAGCATAAGGCCAGTTATTTTATAGAATGTCCCTCAATTTGGGTTAGATTAGATTCAGGTTATCATTCCCTGCCAGGATACTGCCTAAGTATGTCATGGCCCTCTGGGTCATCCCGTCTAGAGGCACGTGATGCTCACCTGCCCTCACTGGTGATGTTAATTTAGATCACCTGTTCACTGTGAGGCACTATTTTCCCTCATGAAAAAAAAAAAAGAAGGCCAAAAAGGATTTTGCAGAGCACAGGCATGACGTCCTTGGTGGCTCCTTTTCTGATAACTATTGTTCAAAACCTCCTAAACATTTTTAGTAAAAAACAGCTCACTTTAAAATGCACCTCAGCAGAAGGCAAGATTGGAGTCACTGGATTGCGGTGTCCGCTACATGAAGCCAGGTCCACACGGAAGCAGAGCTGGCCGGGCGGGCTGTTGCCACCGTCGTCAGGATTGCGGTGGGGATTTCCCTGTGGCCAGCGTTATTCCAGGGGTCAGTGTGGGTGATCCAGTTGAGGAAATGACTGTGTTGTACAGAGCGATAGTCTGGCTTATCTGGATGCCGAAAGACAAGGAGGAAGACACATTTTCAACCCTTGTTTGAAATCATTATCTGTGGAAATTGGGTCATCCTTCCTGTGGTTCTGTGAGAAGCAGCCTTTTACTTCGGGAAATCCCCGGTGATTTCTGCACTATGCCATAAGGACAAGTTATCATGAAGGAAAGGGGACAAAACGGAAGGCTTTCTCAAGTGTAATGAGCTCAGGTCAAAAAATCCTGTGTTTTCATGTATTTGAATTCTGCCTCTTGCCTCTGCTGGCCACCCGACTGCAGTCACTTTGTTTCCCTGCACCTCAGTGTCCCCGTCTTCTCCAACGGGATTTAAAACAATGAAACCGTTCGTAAGTTGCTGTGCAGATTAAATGTGATGATGTGCAGCCCTTTGTTGATTCCGCGGAAAGAGTTTTTCTGCGTCCCATGTGAGAGCTCCTCCTAGGAGTAGGGGTAAACACTGCCTCCTCTCCCGGGGACGGGGAGCTGCTCTCACAGCAAGTCAAAGCAGCAACAGTCCGCACGGCGGGTAGAGAGGAAACCTCCAAGACTGGAAGGAGGAGCGGACACAAGGACGGTGAAGGATGACACTGCCCAGGAGTGGGCCGCTGGAGGGACGCTGTGGCTGGAGCAGAGCGAAGCCTTTTTGAAGAGGTGGAATTCAAGCCGGGCTTTATATATCAGAAGGTTCTTAGAGCCAAAGGTTTAAAAAAAAAAAAAAATTCCAGTCTCCAGCCTGAGAAAATCTGTTTGGAGCAAAGGTTCAGAACCATTCATGCATCTTTCACCACACAAACTGACTTCCACTGTTTACTCAGATTGTGACATCAATTCTCTGAGCCCTGAGCACCCGCAGCATTTTTGCTGAAGGCCTCTGTAGGAACACAGGCCCTTTCTCCAGCTGAATATAGGACAACCCCGACTGAGGCAGGGAGCCAACTCATCCCCAGGGAGGCTCTGGACCCACCAGCCGCCACCCAGAGAAAGAGGGGAGGCAGTGGAGGCTCTGGGCCTGCCAGCCTCCACCCAGAGAAAGAGGGGAGGCAGTGGAGGCTCTGAGCCCGCCAGCCTCCACCCAGAGAAAGAGGGGAGGCAGTGGAGGCTCTGGACCCACCAGCCTCCACCCGGAGAAAGAGGGGAGGCAGTGGAGGCTCTGGACCCGCCAGCCTCCACCCAGAGAAAGAGGGGAGGCAGTGGAGGCTCTGGGCCC